TGTCTAATGGGCAGCCGTGAAGAGAGGTCTGTGGTCAACTCCAAAGTGAAAATGAATGTTTGGGGTCAGAAGGTACTGAGACCTGGGGGTTCCTTGTTAGGGAGCGTCACCTCTGTGCAAGTGACCAATATACCTTCTAAGCCTCCATCCTACCCATCCAGAGATTTCACCTAAGCGTCTAACAACCTGCTAAGATGAGGTCTCCACTTACAGAAATACTACCAGAAAGAAAGTACAGTAGAACTTCTGTCAGCTGACAACCAAGGGACCGTGACAACCTGGCCAACACACAGAGCAGTCACCACCAAAGCGAACGAGGCCTGCTGCACTGCTACGTAGACTGACACAAATCTGCTCTGTGAAAATTCGCTCCATTTAAGGAGGTGGCAGTGTAGGGAGGTGGTCAGCTGTGGAGATTCTACTGTAACAGTCTGGTATTTCAAATGGGTAGATAACGGGGACTTTTCTTTTTTAAACTTAAAAGTACTTATAAAAATCAACACCTCTGAGCTTCTATGTGTAGTATTTTATAACCAACCCCCACGACAGCAGAACGAAGCAAATCCTTACCCTTAATCCAGCGCTTATGTGTTGAAGGACCTTGATGCTTTGGTTTAAAGTGCCCTGGAGAACAAACAGATAATATTTTCAAAATACTACATGTCTAGCACCCTCCCCTCCCCCAGGACAGCTACCCAATCTGACTTAACCCTGTCAAATGGTTTCATCCGAGGAAAGATAATAGATAGTGTTAAAAGGGTACAGCTGATATGTCTCTGGGGCAAGAAAACAAAAAAAGAGACTAGTGAACAATACAGTCAAGATGGCTGAAGGTGACCCCAAGAAACCAAAGGGCAAGATGTCTGCCTGTGCCTTCTTTGCACAGATACGCAGAGAAGAAAAACCCAGAGCTCCCTGTCAATTTTGCAGTATTTTTCCAATAAGTGCTCTGAAAGGTGCAAGACAAGGTCTGGGAAAGAGAAGTCTAAATTTGATGAAATGGCAAAGGTGGATAAAGTCCGCCGTGATAGGGAAATGAAGGATTACGGACCAGCTAAAGGAGGAAAGAAGAAGGACCCAAATGCCCCCAGGAGGCCACCGTCTGGATTTTTCCTCTTCTGTTCAGAATTCCGCCCCCAGATCAAGTCTACAAATCCTGGTATCTCTCTTGGAGATGAGGCAAAAAAGCTGAGAGAGATGTGGAATCACTTCAGTGACCGAGAGCAGCAGCCTTCCATCACTAAGGCAGCCCAGCTGAAGGAGAAGACGAGGAGGACGTCGCTGACTATCGGTCTAAAGGAAAGTTTGATGGCGCAAAGTTGCCAGGAAAAAGGAAGAGGAAGAAGAAAAGGAGGAAGAGGAGGAGGAGGAGAAGGAGGCTGAACTAAAAAGTGTTTATCCGTCTCCCTGTGAAGACCTTAGAGTAGGGGGGCAGCGTAAATGACACATCTCTTGATGGAGAAATGTCTATTGCCCTCCTTAGGTTTAATCACAAAACCTGATCCCGATCATATCCCGTGGTCTCAAAGTGCTCCAGAAAGTGTCAGTGGTTTACATGAAGTGGCCATGGGTGTCTGGAGCCCCCTGAAACTGTATCAAAGTTGGACATATCTCCAAGCGTTTTTACAATGAGAAGGCGCTCTCGTGTTCTCCTCTGTACACTTTGCTGCTGGTGTGACAAGGCATTTAAAGATGTTTCTGGTGTTTGGGGGAGTATTTTGGCGGTTTTTGGCCAGGGCTGTGTTAGAACCCACCACCTCCGGCATATGGGGCCAGTGCCTTAGTCCCTTGTGCCACAGGCGCCGTCCCTCTGTTGTTGTTGTTTTTTTTTTTAATTTGTAAGGTGGTGTTAATTATATGGTTATTGGCTAGAAACCCTGAGTTATCAACTGTACAGATCGATAGTTTGTAAAAAGAACAAAAGAACCGAGACCAACTCCTGCTGCTCCTTGCTTGGTGTTAAGGCCATGGGGGAAGATGCCCTTCGGAGGGGCCGTAGCTCAGGCCGTGCACTGTGATCTGCGCCTGTTGACACTGCGGTGGGCATCCATTGAGCATCAGGTGGTCTTGTTTTTGTATCTAGTGACATAGCATTCTGCTGCCATTCCTAGCTGTGGACAAAGGGTGGGGGGGGGCAGCTGGCATGAGAAGTGTTTGAATTTTTTTTTTTTAGTTAAGTGCGGTACTTTTAAAACAAACCGTAGAACTCTTCATTGTTGGCAAAGTGGCAAGCAGAAGAGCCACCGCCTCAAAGAAAGTTCAAGAACCTTCTCTACTCAAACACATTGGCAACGTTCTATTATTTTTTTGTGTGTTTAGAATGCTGAAATGTTTTTGAAGGTAAATAAACAGTATTACATTTAAAAAAAAAAAAAAAGAAGAAGAAAGAAAGAAAACTAAAGAAAAACATCTGGAGACATACGCTAAAGCTCCGAAGGGCAGCTTTGGTCTAAGTGGAGGGCATCGTTTAAAATAAGCCTCTTGGGTTGCACCTGTGGCTCCAGGAGTAGGGCGCCGGCCCTATATACCCAGGGGTTGGTGGGTTCAAGCCCGGCCCCGGCCAAAAATAAATAAATAAATGAAATGAAATAGAGCCTGTCCCACAAGAGGGGCTTACACAAAGGGTTTGGAACAGGCTGCCAAACTGTATCTATAAAGGGCCAGACAGTAAAGTATGTCAGGCTTTATGTTCTGTGGCCCTGACTGCAGACAGCCCCCAGGTTACGAGTGAGCTAGGTTCTGTAGGTTTATTCGTAAGTTGAATTGATATGTAAGTTGGAACAGGTACATCTCTCTATTGTAATAGTCCCCAAGTGTGAGTTGTCAGATATTTGTAACTCAGGGACTGCCTGTCCTCAACTTGGCCCTTGTAATTAACAGCAGGCACCGTCTGTGAATAAGTGTTCTGATAAACTCCACATGGGAAAGGAGCCCTCATGGCCCCGACTAGAGCACAGCCACTTTGGGAGACAGCTGGTGGGGAAAAGTGGCCAGAAAGGAAAGCGCATGATCCCAGCAAACCCCCTGCCCAGTGCCTGGGATGCTGCAAGGCCGGTGCTCCTGGGAAACAAGAGAACAGTAAATTGTATTCCAGCCCCAGCTAGTGGCCAGTCAAGGGAATACCTCCTAGATTTGCTCTGAGTACAAAAATTAGTCCCTCTGCAGAAGGGATGACTCTGGGAACCGCCACTCCCACAGCCAACTGTACTGATGAAAGATCATAAAAGCCCATGGAAGTGTGTTAAGAGCGGAGTGATTCCTGGCCAGACTCCACGCTGCACTTGCTTTCCTCTGCTAAGAAAGCCTTTCCAATTCCTGGACTGACCTTCTCTCCCTCCACTCTTCCCTGGCTCCCCTCATTTTATTTACCAAAAACGGCAGCAGAGTGTAGTTTATGAGGGGCCTGCTTTGTCAACCCCAGGTTTACATGTATAAAATGAGTTGCTTATTGTGGACGGGTGACCCTAGGTCTGAAGAAGCCACAGAGTCCTATTCACTTGAAAAAAAGACAACATTAAAGAAAATGCAAAAACAGCTTAGAATGTCAACAAATTTGTGTTGAGCATAAACATAGAACAGAAAGTCATGAAGGACATGGGATACAGATGAACAAAATTCAGTAGGATAAGTTTGTGAATAATCTAATGAATGAGGAGGTCAGGGGAGAAAGAGAAATAGTCAAGGTGGTTCTGGAAGGTTCGGATGTTGGAGTGAAGTGGATTGACATGACTCCCTAATCTGAGCAAGCCGATTCAGTGATCCAGTTTCCACACAGTTCTCGCCTTGACAGCCACAAACGAGAGGGGCATGCAAATGTGCCAACAGCCCCTCCTGCTGTCCACTGAGCTCCTCTCTGAGGTCAGGTCCTCCGGCTCCACGAATGAGGTGCTAACAAGGCAGGACTCGTCCCCCGTATTTAGATGAGGAAACCGAGAGGCCACAATACTTGGGGAAGGCAGAAGTGGGGTCTGAACCCAGCTGTGTTTGGCTCCCTTGATTCTTCCCCTGCTGCGAACCTTCTCCGTGCATTAAGGAAAAGACCAGAAGGGGTGAGAAGGAAGCAGGAGGGGTGGGAGAGAGACAGAAGGACTCACCCTCTCTTTCGAGAATGAAAATTCAGAGAAAAAGAATAGAAGAGCGAGTGAGAGGGAAGCCGCAGCCCTGGAGCCAGCAGAGGCCCCACAGCAGGGACAACTCGAACAAGGTGCAGGAGCCAACCAGAGACTCCATCCAGTTGCTCAGATCCAAATGGGAAAAGGGGAGAAAATAGCCAGAAGAGGGCGGTGCAACTCAAGTTTTAGCTTTGTCTTTAAAGCCCAACTCAGTGTGTGAGGCCAAGGACAATCAACTGGACCTCAAGAGCTAAGCAAGTGTCATCGGGGGACACAGAAGTCAGCTAGCAGCAGTGGGTTTGGCTCAGGCCGCAGGGACATGCCAGAGGTCGCCGACCCTTACCTGAGACTTCTCCATTGGAACAACCTGTTGGCGATGAATCACTTTAAGAGTTTCTGCATCTCTTTTCAAGGACTGCCTCAAAGTTCCTGGTGGCTACAGAGAGAATAAAATAAACAAAAATCCTTCTTTCCTTCCAGACTCAAAGCACTCGCTCTGCCCACAGGGGCCCGAGCCCTCCAGGACCCAGCACACCAGCAGCCCTCCTGTCCAGTGATGGCCAAGGTTGGGCATGGGGTTAGCCAGGAGGGACAGTGCCAAGACACTGAACCATTGACTCCTGACAATAACCCACACTCATGATTCCTTCCTGAGTGCCAGAGGCTGTGTCCTCTCTCCACCTCACGCTGATGTGGCCTTTACCAGTGTCCCCATGGTTCAGATGAGAAAACCAAGGCTCAACTGAGAAACGTTTGTTTAACCCACACTTAAACAGTGTTTGGTATATGAACATACAACAACCCAGGTCTTCCCCTAGAGCCAAGGGCCTTGTTACCATGCGCTGCTACTTCTTGGATGGGACCAGAGAAGGCCAAGTAGCGACCAACCAGCAGAGGAAAGGACAAAAGGGAAGCTTATGGGGCTCAGGTGGGGTCCCTGCCCTCCCTTATCACTTCCTATTGGTGACATATGACACCACGTGGCATCTTCCACTCACATGCTCAGTACTGTCCCCTATACTGCAAGAAAATGAGGTGTGCACACATGTGTATATGTGTGTGTGATGAGAGCAGAGCCACAGCTGAAGCACTGAGCACAGAGGGCACACCTGCCCTGGTCACTGGCCAACATTCACAGCTCAGAGAGGTTTGGGCCACATGGCAACGGCTGCTGATGGGAACTCTTGACATGCACAAGAGGGCCCTTGGTAAGCAAGAGGTCACTCTTCCCAGCAGCCTCCCTAAGAATGTATGACATTTGACATCAACAATGATGACAGCATTTAACCTGGACTGTTCATACTCACCAGATGGTTTGCTTTTGTTTCTAGATCACGTGCAAATGATAAAAGATTCACTTTTGCAGGGGATTTACCAGTCTACAAAAGACGTGCAAAAAAAGTGCGTTCAGGACACGGGATCTTTAAACCTTAACGGCATCTAAAAGGCGACAGATTCAACAGGGGTCCATAACCATAGAGTGATCACGGTTAGAGACTCTCACACAGGGGACAACATCTGCATCCTTATACATATAAAACTGTGTTATTTTTACTCAATCACATTATTCAACCATAAAAAGGACTGAAGTACTGAAACATGCTGTAACATGGATGACCTGCAAAAGCGTGCTGGGTGACAGAAGCCAGACACAAAGGGTCACGTACGACGTGATTCCATGGATGTGAAATATCCAGAATATCCATTTATCTAAGGTAAATCCATAGAAAAAGGGCAGAGATGGGTGGTCGCCAGGGGTCTGCGGGAGGAGGAGTGGGGAGGAACTGATAACACGCACAGCATCTCCTCTGTGGTGATGGGAATGGTTTGTAACCAGAGGTGGCATCTCTGTGACACTGTGAATGCCACTGAATCACCCACTTTAGGATGGCCAGTCTTACATTACACGAATCTCATCTTAATCAAGATGATGACAAGAACGAAAAAGGAGGCTCGGCGCTTATAGCTCAACCGGCTAAGGCGCCAGCCACGTACACCTAAGGTGGCGGGTTCGAATCCCCAGCCCGGACCCGCCAAACAACAATGACGGCTGCAACCAAAAAAAAGCCGGGCATTGTGGCGGGCATCTGTGGTCCCAGCTACTTGGGAGGCGGAGGCAGGAGACTCGCTTGAGCCCAGGAGTTGGAGGTTGCTGTGAGCTGTAATGCCACGGCACTCTACCCAGGGGGACAGCTTGAGGCTCTGTCTCAAAAAAAAAAAAAAAAGAACGAAAAAGGAAATACACAGATCCGGGGCTCTAATGTCCCCCAGACGGACAAGCACGATCACTGGGTCATACCTGAGACAAGTAGGAGGCATAGTCCACTGAGTCTATTCCAGAGCCAGCAAAATCTTTAAGGTTGGCTTTTCCATCCTGGTCCAGCAGGACGATATCCACTTGGAAATTAAGATTTTCAAATTCATCGTTTAAACTGTCGGTATGCTACACGAAAAGAAGGAAAGTTATAGATTATTCCCAAGAATGTCCTAAGAGTAGTAGAACTACACAGAATAAAACCCTACACGTGCACGGAGCTGGCATCTCTTCCGGCTCCTTCCGCACGGCCAGTGCCCCTTCAGACGAGGAAGTGGGTGCAAAGGACAGGAAGATTCCATCTCCAGCCTCAAAGACCACGAAAAGACAAGGCTTTGTCAGAAAAGAAGAATATGAAATTCGTCAGGATGCCAGGGACTCGGAAGAGGCATCCAGGGATAGGAGCACCCGGTCTTGGCAAATAGAGATGCGGGGAGGGACCAGGCAGGTTGACATTCCAGGAAAGGGACTTGGTGGGCAGTAGAGCTGGGCTGGATGCCACTTGGGGAACAGTGATTAGTTACTTGGGTGAAGACTGCAGGAATGTGGTGCCAGGAGTGCACTGGTGTGCCAAGTCTCCTTTACACATCCTGCAAGTGTCACCCACCATACTGTTCAGAGGAAATGACCCATGGCATGGCGGCATCTATCCGCATTGTATAATTATATAAAGTGGCATTATGTTTTATTTATGCACATGTAAAGGAACATTTAGGAACGGTAAATCAATACAAAATTCATATACAGCCTTAGAATAAACTTCTTCACATTGGAAAACCATCAGATCATCCTGGGGTCACAGTACTGCTAGCAGCCTCTGTGATGTGGAATGGGCGAGCCGTGGGGCTGGGGAACAGCCCCCTCCCTTGGCACCTCTTGGTGTCTGCTATTATTCTAGAACCCTGAGAGAAAGAGTGCTCTGTAGACAGATTCCTTCCTGCACATCCGAGGCCGGAAGCAGCCTGCAGGCATGGGCAGGTAGGGATGGTTCAGCTAATTGAGCTCTAGGCCCACATGACAGAATCTCTCTTGCCTTCTCTTCTGGCCAGTGTTCTCTGGAATGGCCTTTCGTCAGAGTCTTTGGTTTGGGGGATGGGGTATCGCTATGTTGCCCAGGCTGGCCTTGAGCTTCTCTGCCTCAGCCTCCAGAGTGGCTGGGATCACAGGTATGAACCACCACACTTGGCTCTTTGGGGTGGCTCCAGCAGAAGAGGAGGGTGTCATTCCACTCCGTCTGCTTCCATCCTTTCTGTTTGTTGACAGCAGAGCTCGCCAGAGCCCACCCTGGAATCCTAGGACCACAGTGTGATTCACAAGGGATGAGGACAGTGTGGACCTCACTTCGTGCCAAGTTTCCAATTCCAGGACCTGGCAGAAAGCAAGGATGATCCTAGGGAGCAAATTTCCCTGGGGAGCAAGTTCCTTACAGGAACACCTACACTACACTCAGTGAAAGGAAATCGCTCCCCATGAAGTGTCCACAGTAAGGCCCAGCTGGAGTCTGCACTCCACTCTTGGATATTCCACTCAGAAAACTGAGGCTGCAAGGACCACTGGTTGCGGGGCAAGACAATGTTTTGCAGCTAGATAACGGCGAGGATCGCACAGCCGTGTGAATACCCTGTCACGTTCACATGGTTCATTTTATCTTATCTGAATTTCACCTCAATTTTTAAAAAAGAAAAGATGACCGGATTTAGTAAAGAAATGCTGTCAGTTCCATGCGCTGTAATGACTTGCCTCGTTAATGCTGAGATGTTTGCTGAGGTTGAAGAGATTCTCCAGGTGCAGAGTGGCGTAAGTACCTCTGCTTTTCTTGCAGTCACTATGGGATTAAACAGAGAAATCACGACCCAGAAAGATGGAGAAGGTGAAGTCCACAAGTATCATTTGTAACATTGGGTTATGGAAACAAGAGCTTTTCTCTGTCCCTGGACTTTATACTTGGCCCAAAAGTGACAGTGGGAATTTAGAAAGTTCCCAAAGGACAGCCTGCTGCCACCTACCTCCCTGCCTGTGCCCATGCCCCTGGCTCAGCCTGGGTACCTTTTAAATTCTCCTTTACCCAGCCCAGGAGACCTGACCATACAGATCAGCCCTTCAAAAGGCATCACTATTATCTTGGTGATTTGAGCCCACTGGTGATTCGGACCCATTCACTTTTTTTTTTTTTTTTTTTTGGTGACAGAGTCTTACTCATTCTGTCACCTTGGGTAGAGTGCTGTGTCATCACAGCTCACAGCAACCTCAAACTCTTGGGCTCAAGCAATCCTCCTGCCTCAGCCTCCTGAGTAGCTGAGACTATAGGTGTCCACCACAACTCTCGGCTAGTTTTTCTATTTTTAGTAGAGATGGGGTCTAACTCTTGCTCAGGCTTGTCTTGAACTCCTGAGCTCGAGTAATCCACCTGCCTCAGCCTCCCAAAGTGCTGGGATTACAGGTGTGAGCCACCACGCCCAGCTCCTTCATTCAATTCAAGTCACATGGCTTTCACTTTGGGCTAGGTGGTTCTTGGGTAATTGTCCCACAGGGTCTCACTAATCACCTTAGGGTCACCTAAACCAGTGAATCCCAGGGATTACTGGGGACAGGGACCTTGAGTTATGACCATTCTGGAGTCTCAGAGGCTTTCAGGGGAAGGATTACCTTTTCTGTGTCACTTCTACTGTTTTTTTGCTAGGACTAGGACACCTTACCTCTGAAAATGCAAAGTCAGATCATCAAGATTACAGAACACACTGAAAGCCGAATTTCATTCTGAAAAAAGAGCATTTTAAGAAGCAAAATGCATAATACAATTATTGATACCTGTAAACTTGTGCAAAAGTGATCTTAATATCTGATTTATTAAATATCACACCAGAGAGATAGTTTTCCCAGTTCTCGTCTAGTAAGTAGGGTGTGTCCAAAACCTAGAATAAATTAAAAAGCATTTTTTTAAAAAATACAGTTTTATAATAATACACGCATATAATACAATGAATATTCTGTTAAAAATACATTTTTCAGATTTTTCTCATTGAGTCTCAACTTAAAGCTAGAAATAATAGTATGATTGGAATAAATCAATTGGCCGCTGGATAGCATCAATCAGAATTATTAAAATGATTTTTTTGAGAACAGTTAACTTTTTTTTTTTTTTTTGAGAGAGAGGGAGTCTGACTCTGTTACCCTGGATATAGTATTATGGTGTCATCAAAGCTCACAGCAACTTCAAATTCTTGAGCTCAAATGATCTTCCTATCTCAGTCTCCCAAGTAGCTGGTGCTACAGGTGCCTGGCACAATGCCTGGCTAGTTTTTCTATTTTTAGTAGAAACAGGGTCTTGATCTTGCTCTTGCTCAGGCTGGTCTCAAAGTCCTGAGCCCAAGAAATCCTCCTGTCTTGGCCTCCCAGAGTGCTGGGATCACAAGTATGAGCCACTGCACCTGGCCTAGAACTGATAACTTCATTTTAGTAAGACAGCACATGAGAAATGGAAGTGAACAGGCAATTTGATTCAGAACAGCTAAGATAAATCCGTTAAGCGTGGGTCCAGCTCTTTCCTAGTTCTCTCTGGACAAAATAAATGAAAAGTCACACAGTTGCTGTCAGAACCCTCATATATTTAAGATGGGCAGGTTACGGCACAACTGTGTACGTTTAAGAGGTATGAGTGGTTTGAAATATCCCCTACAGTTTAACAATTATCTTTTAATGATTCAACCCCATATGAGAGAGAAAGAGGCCTGGTTTGATGTCTTCTTCTTAAATTTTCTCAAGAGCCCAAATGCAGATAATTTGACCCATCAATGCTTTCAATTTATTCTCCCTTGACCAATCGAGCAACTAAAATACCATGACAACAGCTAGTGACCTCAGTAGTCATTTGCATGATTTTAGAACAGACTGAGGTGGAAAATGAATTTATAATCGAAAAGAAAAATAGAAACATACAGTAGAACCTCCACAGTTGACCACCTCCTTAAGGGGACCAGATTTTCATAGACCAACATGTACCACGTGTCTGTATCAGCAGGACAGCAGGCCTCGTCCTTTATGTTGACCACTTCCAAATGCTGACTAGTTTGTTACAGTCCCTTGGGTGGTTTAACTTATAGAGGGGTCTACTGTCATTTAAAAATCAAAATCTGGGGAAAATCCTGGAAATCCAAAGTTAGGAGAAAGTGAAGCTTGAATTCAACTCCTGACTGCCCCGTGGTTTGTCAGGAACACGCCTCTATCATGAGACACTTGACTCTCTTTCCCTTCAAATTTAGGGCCCAAAACATGTGTGTGGACGGCTCTGTGAAGTCCTGGAGTGTGTAGAAGCAACCTGGGAATCCATCTTCACCACATTTGGAATCCATTCTTGGCCACATTTGGAAACTGCTACTGAGAATTTTATTCTTCCAGAATATCACAATCCACATTGAGGAGTGGCCTTTATCCCTGGCACTGATTCCACTTACCATCAGAAAATAAGCATACTACCATATATATTTTTTTTCTTACTCTTATAAATAGAAAATATCTCAACTTATTAACTTAAATGAAACTGCCCACGTGTTTGCACCCCTCTTAAAGTAATCCACAATATATGGGAAATCCAAGTGCCTATTCAAGTTCCCTATAATGGGTAGAAAAACCGTATTTACCCGGAATAACTTCCCGTTTTTGTAAGGTTCACAGATCAATTTTTCCATATTTGCACCAATGACAAAAGTAAGAGTCACGATGATCATGAATATCCAGCAAAAGAGGAAACTTAATCCAACCCCACTGGAAAAGAATATGAATAAAGTTAGTAATTCTACAGGCAATGATTCAATCTTACCTACCAGTGCTTACTAAATCTACCTATTCAAGGGATGAGATGGATCACGAGCCTCCAGCATTTTGTAGCCCACCCAGTGGCTAATGAGTGAAGAGAGAAAGTGGTCAGCACAGTGATATGCACGGAGCCCTGACAACCACATGGTCTGCTGGTCTGCTTGCTGTCTACACAGCGGTTCAGAGCATGGAGTCTGGACTCAGGTGAATGAATTGATGCTTTGTGCAAAGGAGACAGTGGAGAGGGGGTTGCATCTGGAGGTTTGGGGATGGGAAGTCATGTGATGGTTTTTATTTTCTCTATGAGGAAGGAAGAGAAAGTCATCTCCTAAGAAAAGGGAAATAGAGGAAGATGGACTTAACAGTAGGAAAGTCCAGGGCAGGTTCTTGGGGGCTGGGGTGGGGAAGAAAAAGAGGGAAGAGGGGAGGGGAGGGAAAAAAAGAAGAGAGAAAATGGCCAGGCTACAGCTGGTCCGTTTGAGGCAGGGATCATAAGTTTGTAGGGACACTCATTGTGCCCCATTGTGTGAGCTTTCTCGACAGTGATCAGCTGTCCAGGTGTAGACACAGAGAAGACAAACTCTTAACTCCATCTAGGGTGGGGCTGTCCAATCACTAGGAAGCCTGCTGGGAGTGTATGGGCCGATGTGGTTCTCAATAACCACAGCATCCTCTCCCAGGGACTCAATTCAGACCCTGTTGCAAAGCTCTAAAGCCAGAATTACAAAACACTTACATGTCTAAAGGAAAAGCAAGGTATCTTCATTGAAAGGGCCCGAGGTGAGAGCTTAGAGCATAGGATTTGAGCCAGGGCCCTACTGGGGTCACCAGGGCTGTGAGTGTGCCTGCATGTCATGTCTATATGTCAGAGTTAGACAACTCATACAACCCATGGACAGTGCGTCTGGAAACAGCTCCATTACTCCAAATAACAGTTAACATTCCCAGCCTTTGCTTCCTGAATCTGCACATATCTAGAGGGGGTGGGGGGAACCACTGCCTGAGGCCTGTTTTTCTAGGTTAGTAAGATAAGAATGTCATAAAGGAAGAGGAGAAGGAAGACAAGAACAAGGAGAAAAATAAAAAGAAGGTGAAGAAGAATGAGAAGAAAAATATGCAGCAAAGGATGTATGTGGCCAGCAGGACCTAAAATATCTATTATCTAGGCCTGTGTAGAAAAAGCTTGCTGATCCCTGATTTGCATCATTGTAATAATACATGCATTATTTTCACCCCCTTCAAATATGTTATCTTAGAAAGTTTTGTCAACAAACCAGAATAACTTGGTTAGCACTTCAGTGGCCATGCAATTTTCCACACGTGGACGTACCATGACTGACAAGCCTACTCCTGCATGGCTGGTTATTCAAACTATTTCCAAAGCTTCACTCCTGTAACTGAAACTGCAAAAGCACCTCCCTGCTCATGGTGGCTTTTCCATAATTTGATCTACTTCCTTAACATCGTTTCCCCCTAAAATGGGAATTAGTAGGCAAAAAGCATTATGGTCTTTTTACAGCCTTTCTATAGACAGAGAAATTACTTTCCTTTATTTTGTAAAGTGCCACCGGCCTTATAACTGTGCCCAATTCTTGACACCTATGGCTACTCTCGGCACTATTTCCGAGAGCTAAAATGGGGTGTTTTATAACGAGCTTCAGTGCAAGAGAATCTTGCTGTTTCTGTTAGATCCTTTTTTTTTAATTGGAGACAGACAGGAGTCTCAATTTGTCAACCTTGGTAGAGTGCTGTGGTGTCACAGCTCACAGCAACCTCAAACTCTTACGCTCAAGTGATTGTCTTGCCTCAGTGTCCCAAGTAGCCAGGACTACAGGCGCGGTCTCACTCTGGCTCAGGCTGGTCTTGAACCTGTGAGCCCAGGCAATCCATCTGCCTCAGGTTCCCAGAGTGCTAGGATTACAGGCATGAGCCACCGCGCCTGGCCTCTCTGTTAGATGCTATTTCTGGGGAGCCTCTCATGATCCCCTGCAACAGATAATAAATACTTTTACCACTGGATCATATTTTGGGGAGTCAGGTTCATAGTGTAGTTTAGTTCAGTTCATAGTGTAGGGGGCTGGTCGATTAGAGCCTAAGTTCCTCAAACCCCTGCAATAGCCTAGTGGTGTACACAAGGTGTTTGGCACCCAGTAGGCTCAGGATTCTGGGGGGTCCTGATGGATTCCATGGGGTCCTGTTGGATTCCGGGGATCCTGTTGACCCAAGTCTAGGATCCTGCGCCCCACTTCAGGTGCCACACATGGCCTGATTTTTATCTGGTGGCTGAGAACAGAATGCCTAGCAACCAAAGATTACCATCGCCCAAGTCCTGCTCAGGCATAGACAGAAATCACTGCAGCCAGTCAGGCAAGTTTGTCCCCAGTTTGTTAAGTGTGAGTTGTAATCATGTGGTGCGCCTGCATGACTTTCCTGTCCTTTGTTTCCCTTCTTCTGACAATGATTACTTGGGGCACCCTGCTTTGGATAACTCAAATTAAGTTTATGCATTATGTTATCAACATGATTTATGATGTTCAATTGAATAAAGAGACCCATGGGAGAACGGGCCGGGGCTGCACTGGAGATGCTGCTAGTCAGTGTCTCCCTCTCACAGGTTCCCATCCGTTATTTCACCTGAGATAACTGAGTCTGAGTTTTCTCTCATGTCAACTGCCCTCAGTGCAGATCCTGGCAAAGACTGTGGGGACTCAGGTCCCCACACATATTCAGCCCCTAAAATGTTCCCGGGGTCCCCAGAAGATACAAGATCAGAGCAGAGCCAGGGCTCTCTGCCTTTCCTCCTTCTCAATCTTTCACTGGTACCATTTTGGAAAATAAGCATTCTTGCCCCATCTCCAAAGAGCCCATGCTCTTGATTGGACTTTGCAATCTTTTTCCAGAGCAGTGGTGTCTCGGTTGCAGCAGTGAGTAAATGGTTTTAGAGAACACACTGATTCTTCTAATTAGTCTGATTAGACTGGCTACACTTGTATCACCCTCCCTCCCGTTCCAAAAATCCGGTTGTTTACCAGATGCCACGTAGGCAGAGAAATCCGCCAGCACAGCATGCTGAACGGGGAGGTTCAACAATTGAGAAGGACTAGCCACCCTCGTCTACAGACAATGGAAATGAATCCAACAACATCTGGAAATTACCAGCCTTTTTCCTACTGCTGCGATATGTCCTGTTGCCTCCAGGCCCTGGGTTTCCCCGTCTGCAGAAATATTTGTCCAAACTGAATTTCAAAGTATTTGAGCTTTGAACCTCCATCAATTTGTTGGAGTTAGTTGTTGGTTATTCTTTCTTTGACGCTAGACATCACATCTTTTGATTGTATTCCTCAAAAAAATGTGAATACAATTTTGATGAGGAAATGTCCCTTTTCAGAGCAATTTATTCTACCCTTCTAGCAAGTACAAAAAAAATACATATATACACACACAGCAAAAAATGTATACGCATTTTCAGAAAGGAACAAACTGTGTTAAAATTGTAATATTCAAGTCATGCTTAAGACTTCTGCACTTAGAAGAAGTGCTCGACGTGACTTGCATTCATCTTTTGTACCGGGAACATATTGAGTATTGAGGTTATTTTTAAGAGTCTTGTGCCTGAATTAATGTTAATGAAGGCTTGTGGTCTATTGGAGTCTAAGTATGTCAGGGAAAGGGGTTAGAGTATAGCTCATCCAAAGTCTGATTATAGTGACCTAAAGTTTTTAAAAGCAGATTAACGCATATCATCTGCTCTCCAGCGACACAATATGAGCAATACTGTAGATTATGACAGCATATGGCTGAGGTTTGCATTGTCCCCTCTCCAAAGGAGTAGTTTCAAACCCGTCATCATGGCCCTTGAGGCCCACAGATTCCCAATGAGTTCATCCAAAAAAGGGAATGCTGATTTGGAAGGCTGCCCCTGCACCCTAGCTTACCTTTCCGGCTCGGGCTGGCTTGCTCCTGGTACATGCCTGCTACACTTTGTCATACCCAGAGAGAGTAAAGGTTTCCTCAAATACATGAACTTGGAGGTGAATGTTTCCAAAGCAGGGACAAGTGCTCCTGTCTGTCACAGGCTCATGGCTCCCTGGCTCCTCATATCTATTCGCTTCCCTAATCTGGAATACCTGTCTCAACTCAAAGGCTGGTGAGTTGCCAATGCCTGTTTTCGATTGAGTTTCTCCAGGGTCACACCAGCACTGCCGCTGACCACAGAGAACAGCATTTGACAGGATCTTAGCTCAGCATCCACTGAATGAATGAATGAAAGGAGGAACAAGGAGAAGCAAGAAGGCAGACCTGGACAGAACAGCTGCTTTTAAAAGGAACGCGTCGTACACAAACAACATGCTTAAGCTTGTCCATCAAAGTGCAACCAATTTATAGTTTTCTGGTACTTTCTATGCTTAATCACAGGACCCGCATCACCAGAGATACAATCGCAGCCAAACCTCTCCTCCACTAGAGTCCAGAGCACACGGCTCCCAGGGCCCCAGATGAATAAGGGCAGAGTCAGCACCGGTCCCCTCCCTGCATCCCCACCTGCAATGTGACACAGAGGTCCCCACACTCACACCATGAGGAAGACGCCTCCGGTGTGCGAGACGCAGCCCCGGCTGGTGGGGGTGGCGTGCCTGTCGAAGCCACACACGCCACACAGCAGGCCCAGGTAGTAGAAAATCACGATGAGGGTGAGCAAGGAGCAGAGGACCAAGCCGCCCAGCCACCTGGGGAAGCAAGCAGAGAGTTACCACACGGAGACAGGTGACGCCCGGCAGACCACTAAGGCTGGGCCCAGGAGTGAGTACTGGGTGTCTAATACTGGCGGCCTCTGCTGATTCAGCAGAGGGTGACTTTGTCGTGTGAAAGGATCCCTCAGGCCTCCAATTCAACCAACCGGGACACTTTAATTTTTATCTTTGCTTCCAAGGGCTCTCTGGATGGTCGGTGGTGATGGGATTATTGCTTTCTCCCTTTTTGCCTTTATTTCCAAAGACATCACGGGGCTTGCGAGCAGATCCGACTGAGCTTCTCCAAGGTACTGAAAAAATACGCTTAAGACGTTCACGTTCTTTCAGGGTTCCTGATGCTATTAAGTGCCTATTGCGAGGGTGACGGCACGTGGACAGATCACAGTTAGACTACAGATAAAGGAATACTGAACTCTGTTCTTCCTCCCGGATTCTGCCCTTGCTCTAAACTATCATATGGTTGCAGGAATATTGGGGGCTATTACTGTGTTTCCCCGAAAATAAGACACTGTCTTATATTTATTTTTTCTCAAGAAGACACACTAAGGCTTATTTTCAGGGGATGTCTTATCTTTATTAAGTATAATACAACCATCTACATTTATTCAAATACAGTTAAGTCATCTTCTTCTGGAACCTGACAGAGGGAGCCGACCTTGTTGGTGTGGCTGGCGCTGCTGATGCGTGAACTTCTTTCCCCTAGCGTTTCTCACGTGTGCAATAGGATGCCTGCGACCCTGGTTACCACACGCACACCCATGCAAGTGCAAATGGCTCCGAGAAAGGAGTTGTGGCAGATAAAAGGTATTCCAGTCTTCCTTACCACTCCACTCCGAAATGCAGGTGTATCTGCATAGCCATGCCCATCACTAGGTCTTATTACCCATCACTAGGTCTTATTATCAGGCTAGGGCTTATATTTAACAAATGCATAGAAATCCTGCTAGGGCTTATTTTTTGGATAGGTCTTATTTTCAGGGAAACACGGTATGTTCTTTACTGGACTAGAAACACTCTACATGGCAGATGCATGGGACATTTAGAATTTTATGAACATCCTCAATCAGATGCCTGCAGAATGCAAATCTCAATTTTGTAATGGTCCCATGAGATGTTTTAGGATAATGGATCCTCAATTAGGCCGGCCTGGCATTCCCGGAACGCACAACAGCCTTTCCCGGCAGTGAGGAGCATTCAAGGTTAGTGATGCTTCCCAACAGCTCAGGCACTAAAACCCAGAGAATTTACTCCCGCTTGGTGTATCTTGACAAGAGTCGCGGCTAAAGCTTTTTATTCAATTAAGTGCAATCCTGCTAATTATAATAATAGCCACCAGCAGCCATTCTGTGGAGCTCTGTTCCAGGTATTGAGAACACAAAATTAAATCAGCCACAGAGTCTGGCCTCAGAAAACTTTTAAAGAATCATCTGCTCAGTTCAATTTCTTTTAAAAATAAGCTTATAGTCTCAGGGCAAGGGGAAGAAGAGGGGAGATGGGTATCAGGCAGGTGGACAGGTAACTGCACTGTTCCTTTTCATTTGTGAAACTCCCATCTCCAGTGAGGTCATAGGCTTACTGAGAAAGGGTCTGTTCTGAGACTTTCTGGCTTGGGCCAGCCTCATGGTGGGACTATGGCAGCTGCCTGGAAGCTTGTTGATTACAGGGTAATGGCTTAGAGTGGAGCGAGATGGGATTTCAAAATCCACCCCTGCCACCTTCCAGCAGCTGTAATTTAGTCACTTCACTTCTCCAAGTCCCACTGTCCTTCCCTATAAAACTGGGTATTGAATACAACACAACTCAGAGGATTTTTATGAGAATTAAACAAGATGTCCTGCAGAAAATGCTTGCTGAACACACTAAAACTGTCCCCTAAATGACAGCAATTGTTGTTATTTATCTTGTGGCCTTTTTTTTTTGAGACAGACTCTCACTTTGTCACACTGGGTAGAGTGCCGTGGCATCATAGCTCTCAGCAACCTCAAATGCTCGGGCTCAAGTGATGCTCCTACCTCAGCCTCCCGAATAGCTGAGACTATGCACCTGCCACAATACCCAGCTAGTTTTTAGTAGACATGGGCTCTCACTCTTGCTCAGGCTGGTCTCGAACTCTTGAGCTCAGGCAATCCACCCGCCTCAACCTCCCAGAGTGCTAGGATTATAGGCGTGAGCCACCAACCCTGGCCTCTTGTGGTCTTTTATAAGAAATAACCCAAATAAGAGTGAGTGTCTAGTCTCACCATGGGCTTGGGCAGTGGGAACAGCTCTAGTCACAAGTGGTGGGACTGAGCCCCTCAAAGAGGAAGTGCATCTTACATCTCAGACAGTCTTCAGAATACCCTGAGCCCCCATGTGTCCCCCTCCAGGACTCTGCCAGGATGTCCATCATCCTCTTCTGGGGCCAAATCCCACTACCCATATTGTCTGAAGGGTGAACAAGTAGCTGCTCACCTAATCTTGGGGAGCAATTTACTAGTGTCAAGTCAACTAGAGGTTGCTCTTTCAATAAGCACCAACTTCTAAGTCTGAATTTTACAAACCACTGCAAAAAAGAGTATTTCCCTAAATTATAAATTATAGAATATTTGGCTCAAGAACTTCCAGTTTTCAACTTTTTAAAAAAATACGGAACGCTGCATAAATTTACATCTTGTCCCCACACAGGAAGTCATGCCAACCTTCTCTGGATCACCCCCATTTTAGTCTAATGCTGCTTTGCCTAAGCAAGCACTTCTATTTTTTTAATAAACATAAACTAGGGTTACCACGTAGCACGTCACAACCTCTTTGTACAATTTGTTCTCATCAGATGGGGTGGTGGTAGTATCAGATTTTCGTCCTATTCCATCCCGAGGTTCACTCTCCTAGTTTAAGAGCTCAGAGGCGGCACTCACCAGTACGAGTCGTACTCTTCCCACTTGTGTAAACTGCGGTGGAGATAACTCTCAGTGTCGTTGATATAAACCATGAACTTGGTCAAAGCATCCTGAATAGGAAGCTGTTCAGTTACCTTGTTAACATTGGGACCGATGGCATTTAAGGTATTTTTGACATCTGAAAACAAAGATACATTGGTTATGCGTTTGCAAACATAGAAGAAACAAAATCGTGGTTTTAGAACCAAACGGGAAAGTGTGAACCACTCTTAGTTTTCTTCATGTCATGTATGTGTTTAAAATATGGCATTTCTACAATAAGCATGAATACAGCCAAGGCCATCAAAGAGCAATTCCTTAACACAACAGCCAGCCGTGAGCGAGCATGCACTCCAGTGAGATGGGGCCGAGGCAGCCAGAGTTCTCTGCTTATTTCACTAGAGAAAAGGGCCAGGGGATTAAAATGTCCAGGGTACCGCTGATGTACCAGGCATGGCTGTGGAGTGGTAAGGCATTTACTCTGCGGAGATGAACATTCTTATTCCCCATTTTACTAATAGTGATCTTGCCAGGTAAGGTGGCTCATGCCTGTAATCCCAGCTCTCAGGGAGGCCAAGGCAGGTGGACTGCCTAAGCTCACAGGTTCAAGACCAGTCTGAGCCAGAGCAAGATCTCATCTCTAAAAAAGTAGCCAGGTGTTGTGGCGGGTGCCTGTAGTCCCAGCTACTTGGGAGGCTGAGGCAAGAGAATCGCCTAAGCCCAGCTGTGATCTGTGATGCCACTGTGCTTTACCAAGGGTGACAAAACGAAACTCTGTCTAAAAAAAAAAAAAAAAATCAAATACCTGTAACACGGTGATTTTCAACTGATGTGCTGAGAAAATTTTTATGGTTATTAATAATTATTTTCAAAAGAAGTTGAAAGCACAGCAAGTATGTTCTTTTTTTTTTTACTTTGTTTTTGATCAACATAATTAAGTGCGCTGTGGAAGTTTAACTATAGGTTCAAGCGTGCCATGAGATAAAAAATGTTGAGAAACACTGTTCTAACATCACAGAAGAACTGAAACGATTTTACACAATAGAAGATGGTTTTACCAAACTTCGTAGGTTTTTTCTCTAAGCAAATAACCCTGGTTTGTCTCTTTCCTACACGAAGAATTGCTTATGCCACAAATCCCATCAGCTGAATACAGCCCAATTCAATGGCCTTAGAAGCCTAAAATACTATTCTATCAGCATCGGTAGACAGATGAAAATCTTCCTCTTAGACAAAATAAATCCTTCAACATGGCATTCCTAACAGAGAAAACAAATAAACTTCGTTTAAAAAATATAATAATCTGGGCAGTGCCTGTGGCTCAAGGAGTAGGGCGCTGGCCCCAGATGCTGAGGGTGGCGGGTTCAAACCCTGCCCCGGCCAAAAACTGCAAAAAAAAAAAAAAAATATATATATATATATATATATAAAATAATCAATAGTTTTTGCCCAGTGTAAGTAATCAGAACATGACCTTCCAAACTGTGTGTGTTGTGCCATCTGTGAGCACAGTCTGGAGACCTGGCGTCTCATAGTGGCCCTCAGCCACATCACATTGGCAGGCTGGATGATGCTCTTAAGTGGTAAAGGACAGGATTTTTTTTTATTATTATTTTAATCTATATCACTGAAGGTGACACAATTGAAAAGCTGATAGTCCTTTAGTTTCCAAAGTTTTAGTTTTCTATTTTTTAGGAGAAAAGGGATGATATGATTCTTGATATTACCTTTCTTGGTACTGAACTGTCCAATTCCTAACAAAGAGAGATTAAAAAATTACCTCAAATTATGACTCTCACCTGCAACAACATTCGTGGTCTGGTCTTGTATCACCCGTGGTATATCATTAAAGGATGTATAGCCCTAAAAAATATTCAAATTCAATTGATGTACATAGTAAGCTGAAGACTAGTTGACTATTACCCATTTTGCAATGTAATACACAGTAGGGAAGTTAAATAAAAATATAACATCCATCTTATGGCTGAAATTATCATTATATGGTCACTAAGAAGCTAAAAAGAAATTCCTTACAAAGCGCTTTATTTAAATTGTATTAGTTAATGTTAAAAGTTTTTCTTATGGTGTCCCCATAATTATAAAATCAGCACGTTTACTCACACAGGTCCCAGGAATTATTACGGATACATTTCTCTACACCACTGGTTCTTAACTGGGGACATTTTTGTCCTTCAGAGGACACTTGGCAATGTCTGGAGAAATCTTGGTTATCACAGTTGTGGGGCTCTGCCGGCCCTGTGTAGGGGGAGGCCGGGTGCTAACAAAGTCCCTGCGATGCTCACAGGAGCTCTGACAGCTAAGAGTTACCCAGCACCAAGCACCAATGGGGCTGAGGCTCAGAACGCCTGATCTGTACAACATGCTATCTGCAGAGAGAGAGCAAACTCCCCCAAATAAAGTCGTACTTAGAATCGTCCTTTCCAATTATAAAATAAAATTAGAGAGCTAGTCTCACAGAAATAACAATAATAACTTCCCAAAACATAGCTTGTAGAGGATACAAATTGTAGTTAGGGTAAAACAAAAAACAAAACTAACCATGGCGAGCTACCTGGCTTTGGGGCTAAATCCATGGAGGCAAATACCATGATTTCCAAAGAACTCAACTCATATGCTCAGCCTCTCCCCTGGGAACAGTCAGTTTGGTGCCTTCACTGTCTGCTAGGGAACACTCAGAAAACGTGCGGTGCCAGCCAATTTGACATTCACCAAGCTGCAGCTGGTGCCGTGAGGAGCACACCCACGGCCTCTGTTTCCTCCAGGTGACTAAGACGCCGAGGTGACCAGTGCCTGTGCTGGTCTTCTAAGGGCCTGGCCCCCTTTACATTTATCTGGGTCTAAATTTGTCTTGCAGACGTCACCCATCCAGGGGAAGTCTCAGGGCTGGACAAGGGCCTTACAGAACTCTGTTTCAATTCCTTCATTTCACAAACAAGGTGATACCAGAGGGCAAAGACCAAGAATCTCCAGTTGATGGACGAAAGGGGACACTCACTTTGTCAGTATACGGAGATGCATGTCTAATAGATAGTTGAGATTTTTTTCACATCCACGCTAAGGAACACAGCGTCAAGAACACTACGTATAACTAACATCTCCCTTTCCTCAAGGTCTAGGGCACGCTCTTGAATTATAATGTATAAATAAATACCTACTGTGCGCTCAACACCTATTGGTTGAACACACAGCAACGACACCTGGTAAGCTCCAAGGGCAGGCCTGCTATTCCTGACCAAGGTTGCCCCTGACTTGTTGGGAGTTTACAGCCCAATGGGGGAACAGAGACATTAAAGCAATAACTACAGTTATGAGGGATTTAACAGTGACTATTTGCCATGCTGTGAGAAGGTATCATAAAGGGTTTTGACCTAGTCAAGGCGCCCAGGAAAGATGTGGTAAGAAGATAACACATGCATCTTAAAAAATGAAGCAGCTAGGAAAGGCGGAAAGAAGTAAGTGCCAGGCAGAGAAGTGGCGTGGGCAAGAGCGTCACAGTGGGAAGGAACAACAGGACCCACAGCTGGCACACACAGCGGGCAGCATTCTGTATCAGAAACCGTGTGGGGTCTGGCAGGCATTACACCCACTAAATTCGGACCCCCGGGAAACCAGAGGTCAGATTTTTCTTCATCTCTTATGGTCTTAGCAGGGTGCATATCATAAGTGCTTAATAAAAATTTCTTGAGTTGCAAAGAGGCACAAAATTACCTGCAAGGTCATAGCTATCACGCTTCTCGGCCGATCTCGCTCCAGAATTTCACTGCTTTTTTTGCTGTTTCTTATTTCCTTACGTACTAGTTTACCCTTTCAAATGACTGGAAATCAGCATGTGCATTTTGTTTTTTTCTTAAACATACCTTTTGGACCAGGCCATCCAAATCGGTTCCAAGAACATTGTTAACGTTGTCAAGTTCTCTGTTCACAGATGGAAGCTGAAAATGTATACACAACAACGCGTAAGGCAAGATGGTTCCCCCGAAACAATTCCTTATGAAAAAGGGAGTTAGTTATCTTGTAGCCAAAGCCTGAAGCAGCTATATGATTGAGTTCAATTTCAATTTCTTTGAACAATAGTGTGGCTTGGGGAAAACACATTCAGCTCGGAATGGCCTCTGTCAGCACCAATTTCTGGATGTTTGGAGGTCTGCTGCAACCAAATTTAGCACACATGCAGGATGTGTGAGCTCGTGATTTCAAGGACTGAAGACTGTTACATTAGGTTGTGAACAAACTTCTTAAAGTCACGTTTAACAGCAATGTGGTCAGTGGTTATACTGATGACGAGACCGGAATAAATGTTCCCATTACAGCATCATCCGCGGATGATGGTTTGGTTTGGTCTCGTTCTTACCAAAATGGGGACGTGCCTCTAACGTACCAAGAAAAACATCACTTCTGTGATATTTCCCTCCCAAATATGAGTAACTTAAATCTAAACATGAGAGAAGGAGAGACAAACCTAAATGGAAGGCCACTCAGCAAAAGAAACGGCCTGTTCAAAAATGCCAATGTCTGGGTGGTGCCTGTGGCTCAAGGAGTAGGGCGCAGGCCCCATATACCAGAGGTGGCGGGTTCAAACCCGACCCCAGCCAAAAAAAAACTGCAAAAGTGCCAATGTCACCAAAGAAAAAGACTGAGATGCCATTCCAAATTCAAGAGCATGAAAGGGACGTGACAACAGCTGGCAACATGTCAACCTGACCTGGTCCCGGAATGGAAAGACAAGAGATAGTTATAAAGGGCATTTTTAGAAAAATCAACAATATTGGAATGAAAACGGAGTCGAACAGTTGGTAGAGTTGGGTGAATGGTATATCCTAATTGTAATAATTGTATGATTACATATTTACCCCTAAAATACTCAGGGGTAAAGGAACCTAAACTCAGCAACTTATCCCCAACTTGTCTTGTGATAAAAGAACAAAATGCATGTTATTTTATGCATGTGAGTGAATGATATAAATACAGATAAACTGATAAACTGATAGGATAACGCGAAATGCTGACACGTGGAGACTTTTCTGCATATTTGAAAATAAAAAGTTGCACCCCAAAAGGATCCATCTCTAACAACGTAAACACGACCAAGCTCTAAAAAACTGTGTGACGACTCCAAAAAGGCCTGTCGTAGATCCACAGACACAGCTGTTACACGGGAAATGCTGGGGGGAGAAACCGACTCAGGAAATGTGAGAAAGCACGTCTGTAATAAAAGGTTCTTTCATGTAAGAGGTGAGCTAGAGATCTAACTAAAATAATAAATTAACTATGGGTGGGCATCATCATTTTCTCTGCACCCCAAACTTTTATATATTCAAGTTACCCCAAACTCTTTTATAAATCATTTCTTTGGGAAAAATGGGAAAATTATTTTCTATTTTGGCATACACAAAAAAACATATTTTAACTTTTAAATGTCTATGTGAATGTATTCTGCTTTTTTCCTTTATTTTTTTTCCTGAGACAAGATCCTGCTCTGTTGCCCAGGATGGAGTGCAGGAGCATCATCAGATCTTACTGCAACCTTGAACTCCTGGGCTCGAGTCATCCTCCTGGTTCAGCCTGACAATTAGCTGGGACCACCTGTGTGAGACCCCACTGCTGGCTAATTTTTAAAAATTTTTTCTGGAGATGGGGGTGGGGACGGGGTGAGTAGCATAGGGGTGGTGGTGGTATTTTTTTCCCAGCTCAGTCTTGAACTTCTGGCTTCAAGCAATCCTCCCACCTTGGCCTTCCAGTGTGGGGATTACAGGCTGGAAAGAGCATATTCTTTTTTTCTTTTGAAAGCTGAATTCATTCTGATATGTTTCACAGAATGGCAGAGAACTCCCCAGAAGTGGTTTCCTTCCAATTCTTCTCTCCTGCTACAGCTGTGCCTATGTAGTAACAATGCCCCAGGAAGCCTGGCAGAGGTCCCCTGGCTCTCCTGGCTCTCCAGGCCAGCCTACTGTGGGTCAGCCAGGTCCAGCCCCACTTAGCTCTGCTGGCCATCCCCAGCAGCCTCCGAGCGGCATCCAGCTCAGGGTTGCTCACCTGCCCCAGGTCGAGGTTGGTCTCTAGCCGGGTCAGCGACGTCCTGATGTCATCGCAGGTGTTGCTCGATGGTCGCACAGAGCACACGGGGTCGCCGAGCGCCCTCTCCACACTCTCTTTCACATCTGTCAGGTTGCTGCTAAGCTGCTCACTCCTGTCACGCAGGCTCTGCAAGCTGCTGTTCATGTTCTCCAGGGCCCTTTTGGTCTCTTGGATGGCTAGGGGGACACAGAGCAGAGGCACTAGAGTCCCTTCTGAGCTACCTGAGCAGCTAAAGGAACTGGAGATGAGCCTATCAGTGACTCTAGGTGGCAGCCAGAGGCACCTGCTGCCAGGGCTGCCCGCTCCTTCAGCTGGCCCGGCTCTGCTGCCTGGGGACTCTTCCACACAAGAAGCAGGAATAAGGGGTGAGCCTGGAGGGCAATGGGAAGACCACCGCATAGCATGAACCCAGCCAGTAGCAGCTGGCAAAGGTGTCATGGCCCAGCCTTGAAGAGATGAGTCCCAACAAGTCAATCCCAAGTAGTTTAAGGCCACAAAAAAAATTGATGCCACCCGGACACATTTTTTGCTATGAATATTCAAAGATTTGGAATTCAACCTAGCCCAGCAGCTCAGAGCAGGGTCTTACACTCAGGCAGGGCTAGGCACAGATCCCAGGGAACTAGAGCCCTGCACATTTCTGAGCCACTTTCCTCAGCTCGTCACAATATGTGGGAACGGTTGGTGAGGAAGAGAGCTGATGTCTGGTGTCAACACCTGAGGACCATGACTGGACCCTCTGCAGGGGTACAGGCAAAGACAAGAAAAAGCCTTTTCAGGGCAGCGCCTGTGGCTCAAAGGGGTAAAGGCACCAGCCCCATACGCCAGAGGTGGTGGGTTCAAACCCAGCCCCAGCCAAAAAAAAAAAAAAAGAAAGAAAAGGCCTTTTCAGTTGTACAGACTGATTGTAAGAACCCCTGGCCTGTTCTGCCCATCCTCCTGTGTCTGTACATTCAGCTGAGCTGTCGAACAGTAAGGAACAGTAAGGAACGCCGAAAGGAAGAGGCATACTTTTCCCACTTCCAGGCAGTTCCCTCCTTAATGGCCTATTTTCTCAGGAACGCTAACTTGTGAAAGTAAAATTCATGTCAGCAATAGGACAAATGTTTTCCGTAGATGAAACTGTCCTCTCCATCAAGGGCCTGGCACAGACATTGTTCTCAACATTTGGAAGGGCCTGGAAGGTCTTTTCTCACTGTGGGAGAATATGAAGCTTGTTAATATCAGTGTATCTGTTCCCTTGTGTCATTGACCATGGGGCCTTAAGTCATGAATATAGCTTGCTTGTGAAAGTAGCTTTTCTGGGGAAAGAGGGATAAAGTAATTAACAGATCTCAAAAGACCTAAATTTCTATAGGTTACTACTCACCTTCTCTATGGGAGGTTGGCAAATGTTTTCTACAAAAGGTAAAATAGCAAGTTTTTTAGGTTTTGTACCTAAACAAAACGTGTATGGCTGTGTACCAATAAAACTTTATTTACAAAACCAGGTGGGTGGGTCCCTATCAAATCCTGCCTCTGTATCTCAAGTGACTTTTAGACCGTCAGTATGATAGCTTTAGCACAAGTTTTTTAAAAAATAAAACTAGGGCAGTGCCTGTGGCTGAAAGGAGTAGGGCACTGGCCCCATAGGCCAGAGGTGGCGGGTTCAAACCCAGCCCCGGCCAAAAAAAAAAAAACCAAACTATTATGACACAGTGTGTCTGAATCTGGCCTATTTGTATGTCCAGAGATGACAGTTCTCAAGGAAACAAGAAAACAGTAAATCTGCAGAGCCCAGGGGCTCCTGATGGCACATTCTCCTGCCGTTTCTGTCACGCTGCTTACCTGTGACCATGGACTTAATCTCATCCAGAACGGGGATCATCACGGGTCTTAGTCGCTCACGAATTCCACCTCCAAGCAAAGAACTAATACCTATATTCAAAGAAGCACAAGGTGGGTGAGGGCAGCCTCCTCCCCTCAGCCTGCATTTTCTTCACTCTTGACCCCGTTGGCCGGGCACACCAGGGTCAGCCTCTCCTGCCCTGACATCCCAACCCAGTCCAGACTTCTCTTCAAAGTCCCACACCGCAGTCCCCCAGTGACAAGTTAATCCCCAGAGACTGGGCGTTTGTGCTGGAAACAGCACTTCTCACCCTGCGCCCCTCGTCTCTCAGCGAGACTGAGCACCCGCTGTCATTGCTCAAGGCACTGTTGCTGTGCACTTGTTCATGACACAGAAGCTGTCCTGTGTGCCCTGTGGGATATTCATTTCAGCAGGTCCCTGGCTGTGACCTGTTGGATGTCAGCAGCTCTTGCCCCCCACAGCCCACCCTCACCTCCTCGTGACAACCGAAAATGTCTTCAGATGGCACCAGATATGCCAAATCTGGTTGGAAGATTTGGAAGCACTAAGCTGAGCTGTGTGTGAGCTCCCTCTGTCCCTCTGGCAGGCAGGGACCAGCCCTCACCACCCATCCACTTCTGAAGCCACTGGTTTGTCTAAGGATTCATGCATGTCCTTAGCAGGGCACCTATCATGTCCTTAGCAGGGCACCTGACAGGGACATGATTTCTTTCTCACACGGGGGATAAAGAGCAAGAACACAGAAGCTTTATGATAACTGTAAAGTGAAAAAACAAAACATCCTGCCCCAGGGCAACAGGTGTTTTCAAAAAATGCCAGGTCCTGGCTCAGCACCTGTAGCTCACTGGGTAGGGCGCCGGCCACATGCACCAAGGCCGGCAGGTTCAACCCTGGCTAGGGCCTGCAAAACAACAATGACAACTGCAACAGAAAAATAGCTGGGCATTGTGGTAGGTGCCTATAGTCCCAGCTACTTGGGAGGCTGAGGCAAGAGAATTGAGAGTTTGAGGTTGCTGTGAGTTGTGACTTCACAGCACTCTACAGAGGACATATTGAGACTCTATCTCAAAAATAAAAATAAAATAAAATAATTAAAATGCCAGGTCCTAATCCCTGAGGCAAGTCATCCATAACTCTAGGGAATTATTTTTGTTTCCTTGATGTCTACGTGCTTCCATTCTCAGTCTACGTTTCCTAGGAGGTGGCCACGGCACCTTTTAGCCAAAACAATCACAAGAAACAAACAAAAATTTGAGGCAACTTTAAATCTTACTCACTGTTCAGATCGGCGATGGCCCTGTCCTTGGTGGTGTTGTACTGGCCCAGGATATACCGGATTTGCTGGGGAAAAAAATGACATGAGAGCTCCTCTTCTGAGGTCCAGAGACACGGTAAAAAGACAAGAAGAGATTTAGCGTCCAGTTCTCCTGAGTCTGAACATCCTACAAAGGATGTTCTCAGAGATGTTTCTCTTTTCTGGCATCCAGACCTCTTCACAGGACTCCAAGACTTACGGCTTAAAATGCAGTTTGTCATTTCTTACGATTCTGGGGGTGGCCTCTGTGGGTCTTCTGGGGCTGGTGTGTCCCTGCACCCTCTGTGGACTCTCAACTGCCAGGTATCCAGCCTGGGTTTTTGCATGTGATGATCCCGGGGCAACCAGCATAGAGAGAGGAACAGTGGACACTACCAGGCTCCTGGAAGCCCGACTTCAAAACTAGCATAAAGTCACGTCCACTTCATCCTCCAGAGCAAAAGCTCATCTCAGGGACAGCCGGATTCCAAGCGTTAGAAAACAGATCTGCTTCTTGGCCACAGAAACTGTAAGAATTCTTGGCCATCTGCAATCTACTGTACTAGGTCTGTTTTATTTAGTGAAGTCACCAACTGATCCCCCGCCAAGTGGCTGTTAACCCTCCTGTTTCCCTCCTATCTCCCCACTCCCTCTGCAATACTGGGCACTATCATTTTTAAATAACTATTGACAATATTCTCCATGAAAACGTTGCAGCACTGTTCACATTTTCATGTGTCAATGACTAGAGTAAGGTGAAACATCTTACGTGCTTAAGGCCGGTATGTTTCTTCTGGAGCCTCACATTCTCTGCCCAATTTTTTATAGACTTGTTAGAGCCCTTTATCTTGGACTATACTCATTTCCTGCAAAGCCGTAACATCTCACTATCCTTGCAGGATTAGGAAAGCAGTCCCAAACTAGCCATGATTGTGGCCTAATTTTGCCAGCTTCTTAGGAAAAACGTTTGTCTTGGGAATCTTTGGGATGACAGTTTAAAAAAAAAATTACAAATTCTCATTCACAGCTTGGGACAAGGAAATATTTCCATCTGCATGTGGGCTATAAGGGTGTAGATAAAATTGACTTCTCTGTTCTCAATATTGCAAAATGCCTGCCTTTGTTTCTCTTTTATTTCTAACTGTTTTTTAAACTAGTGTGATATTTATTTCGTGTATTAAATTTTTAGAAGATAATATATTTGGAAGAATGCCTATGTGAGGGTGCTTGTGGGTTCTGGGGGACTCTCGCCAGTGAGCCTGGGAAGAGGGCATCCTCCTCTCTGTGTTATACCCACAAGCATCACACGTCTGGGCTGGTTCCTGCCCAGGTACTTTATAAAACAATGCTCAGAATAGGTAACACACCAACATGCTTCTGGAAGACAGGAAAAGGGGCCCTCCCCTCCCACTACTGCCTTTCAGCAACCCGCTCTCCTTCCCTAAAGGCCAGTGTATGTACAGGAGAGTGGCAGAGTGTGTGTTTCTGTGTTCTTCTGAGAGAATATGATACGCCTATGTGGGTATCAGCAAACAGGTGTTTATAAAGCAGAAAGTTCTCATTACAAGAATAACATTATGCAAAAAAAGGGGAGTGGCCGGGCACCATGGCTCATGCCTGTAATCCTAGCACTGTGAGAAGCTGAAACAGGTGGATCCCTTAAGTTAGAGACCAGTTTGAGCAAGAACAAGACCCCGTCTCTACTGAAAATAGAAAAACTAGCCAGATGTAGTGGTAGGCACGTGTAGTCCCAGCTACTTGGGAGGCTGAGGCAAGAGGATTGCTTGAGCCCAAGCGTTTGAGCTATGAGGCCAGGACACTCTACCCAAGGCCACAGGGTGAGATTCTGTCTCAAAAAAGAAAACAAAGGCAGAGGGAGAGGAATAAACTATACTGCTAAAATAATAATGATAATGATAATAATCACAGAGCTCAGAAAATAAAAAACATTGGGTGGCACCTGTGACTCAAAGGAGTAGGGCACTGGCCCCATATGCCAGAGGTGGCGGGTTCAAATCCTGCCCTGGCCAAAAAAAAAACTACAGAAAAATAAAAAACATCATGAGGGCCTTAAAATGGGTAAGTCTCCACTTCTCAGGCTTCTGGCTCAGAGCCAGCATAGTGGAACAGAGAAGCTCTCTCATAACCTGTACTCTAACTTTATGTCATACCTTAACAACATAAAAGCACCAATTCTGAAATTATGCTTTTGTACTCTTTGGAAAATCACCTGCTGGGACTTTATTTCCTTGTCTGCAACAATAAAAGATAACACCAGTCTACAGCTGAGGCCCTGAGTTTCTAGAAAGTTCAAATGCGATTCTGAATACGCACAGGAGCTGCAAAAAGCCAAAATTACAACGTGCCCCGGGATAAGCAGACAGTGGTTTTTACCTCTGGGGTTTCATTCATGAGAGTTCGCAGGTCTCTGAAATTGCTGTCCGCCAGTTTCCGAGTCCTTTTGAGCCGCGTCCTCACCTCGTGGTTGGCCACAAAAGCGAAGACAATGCCGATGCTGTGGGAGGAGGAAGAGGGAAGGAAGGACGCTGAGCCCGGGGTCACTGGTCACCTGCCCAGGTGGGTCGGGAAAGGGGCCCCCAGAACGGCCAGCCTCTGTCCGCACCTGCCTCCTCCTGCTACAGCCTTCCCACAACAACCCTACTGCCACCAGTAAGAGCCACAGAGCAGGGCTCGGTCCTCTCAGAGAAGCCAAATCTTCACGTGAGACAAAGTGCCCTGTTCAAAACGACCCCCTGGGGGGAACAACGGTCACAAGAAATTGTCGAGGCAGGACCCATGATCAGATGTGTGTGCACACCACACACCACATACCTCTGCTGCCCCACCCATAGCAGATGACAGGAAAAAACACTGAAATGCAAAGAGGGGCCTGGCCTTCTCCTATTTTTGGCTTCTCTGTCTGGAAGCTTCTGTATTGTCTGAGCACAAAAGAAATATGAGCTACTCTAGCATTAAAATGCCACACATTCGGCTCGGCGCCTGTGGCTCAACCGGCTAAGGCGCCAGCCACGTACACCTAAGGTGGCGGGTTTGAATCCCCAGCCCGGACCCGCCAAACAACAAT